AAACCGCAGAAAAGTCGCTTTGAAAATCTACGTGATTTGTCGTTTTTTCTTCAATTTCTAACACATATACACCATAGGCTAAAATTTTTATACCTTTTCAAAGTTGCTATAAAAATGCAAACTTTGTCATGATAACGTAAAAGATATTTATAACTAAGAACGCGATTTTTTTTCGCAACAACACACAAAAGTACGACAAGGAGTTAAACATAATTTGTGTTTGTTTCATCATCTTTTTTTCTTGAATTATAAAATCAATTGGGTGTAATTTGTGTAATAAATGCGTCGTCCATATTGATTGCGACCAATAAAAAAACATCGCAACACCGTGTTTTTCACATCATCGTTCTGCGAGTCCACTGAAGGCAAAAGTACTTCCAAACAAAGCGATAATGCATTTTTCTCAATGACAGTCAAATATTTTTAGTCAGCTTATTATTATTAGTTTGATTTTTAGTTTAAAAACTAATAGATACTATTTTAATTATTTAACAAATAAAAAAATTCAACAAAGTACATGTTCTGAATACTCAACAACACAAACAAATTCTATTTACTATGGGTGGAAAACTGATTTGTAACTCAAGTTTATCTGGTTCTAAAAGTTGATATTTTCAGTAAATAATATCAACATAAACTGCAATGTAATCGACTGATTTTTAAACACATCGAGTTTAAAAAGTAGTGTTTACGAATTTCTTCAATGATTTCGAGAAATAAAACAGAACAACAAATGTATAATAAGACGTAGTGAATTAACAACAAATCATTTAATATAAAACTTGCTTATTTTTATTTTTTTATTTCTCAGAACTTATTAAGTTATTTAATTATTTTGATAATTTAATAATATAGTTTATTTTACTATATTTAAAATATGAAAATATAAGTAGTCAATTCCCGAAAAAATAAATGAATATTGTAATACACTTTTAACAAGAAGTGTTTTTTCAAGTGTTAATACAAATTGTAAACAAGAATATTTATTTTTAGTATACATTTAAACATGTTTGTCTTAAGAGTGTTAACGTGATACGACGTATTCACACAGAAATGGTGAATCCCTGTGGATTAAATTATTTTGTGTGGATAGCCTTCTATTTTTTTGTCGAAAAAATTCAAATATCCGTTTTAAACCATATGTTATGATTTTTAAAATTAATAATTGTTATTTATGATCATTTATGGGACAAAAATGATACACAAACATGAATACTCCCATAAGGAGTATTTCCAATATTTGCAATAATTTCATAGTAAAAAAACGCTATTTTCAGCCTTTTTTTGGAGTGGTAAAATAAGAATAGATCAAAATGAACAAATAAAATAACTAACAAAATTTACGTGTATTATCCCGTTTATTTGATATATGTAACACTATTTTTTTCGTTTTTTTAATTGAAAAAATATTTTAAAAGTGATTTATGGGATTTAAATTTGGGAAAATTCCCGTTTTTTGCATTTAAAAATATTTATTTAAATATCAATTAACAATTATATTATTTTTTCGTCAATCGTGGCTCAAAAATGCATTAATTATCACTTTTTACTAATAGTATTGTAATTTATATAAACACTCCATTGGTTTATTATTTTAATAATAATATTTGGGAATTGAAATATGTTAAATAATGACTTTTAGTTGGCGCAAATTATACGTATAAAGAAGGGTTTTACATCCTAAATAATGTTCTGGTTTTGTTGAAAATGTTAAAGACAAGGTTTTATGTCTAAACTAAACTATTAATTAATAACAATAAATTATATCAAAATAGTACATTATTAATCAACATAAAAATGACAGAATAATCACAATACAAATTCTATTAACATAGTTGAATAAAATGTAATTTTTACTATAAAAACGTTAAAAAGTTAAATGGCAAATTACCACATTGTAACAATAAGTTATTTTTTATGTTATTAAATAATCATAACAATACATATTAATTAAAATAAAAACATACAGCAAATACCAACAAAAACCATCAAAAAATACAAGTCATGTTACTTATTTTGAACAACATGTAATAATAAAGATTGTCTATCTATATTTACCATCCACACCTTTTCAACCTATCCACAGTTAACTATGCGTTAGTATTTTATGACAAATTATATATTATTTTATAAATTATTCAATTTCAATAATTTTATTGATTACATATAGTTTATACAATTAGTTAAATAAACTAAAGTTAATTAATAAAAAACTTTAGTCTTAAAATTTTTAACAAAATTGTTTTTTTTCGCGGCAAATTCATTTAAATGGTAAAAGTAAAAGATGACTTTGACTAAAAATAAAAACTGTTTTTTCTGTTTTAACTTTCAAAAAAATCAGGTTTTTACGAATTCGGTCCAAAAAACCTATTTTTTTGTAAACTCTTAGGCAAATTTTATATCAATTACAACATAAATGTGTAAGATTTCCAAAGCCATCCACAAAAAAGTGGTCTATCACGTTAACACTCTTTAAGAGTTTTATCGAATAATTTATTTAACAAACAATCTCATTCAAAATTAAAATTAAGACAAATAATTTTAATTTTGAATAGTAATAATAATTAAAAAATTGTTAACAAAGTTATATAATATTAAATGTAAACTGTGGTTCAAAAGTCGGTATCGCCGTATTTTTAAAACTCCCTAAAGTTCTTTTTTATTTTTTATTTTTTTTAAAAACAAAAAAAACAAAATATTAAATTTACAGACTTAATTTTGAAAAAAATAGCAATTTTGTTCAATTATTTTTGTACAATATCGGGAATTTATCGGAATATTAGCCAACCATTTCCAAAAAACAAGATCCCATTATTTGATTTGACCTCAACTCGATACTTTTCAACACAGAATCGACAATGTTGGCAAAATTATTTAACAATAAACACATTTGTAAATTTAGATAATGTTGTTTATGTCATTATGTAACTAAATATTAGTTTAGTTAATTTTATTTTAAATTAAGTTAATCATGTTTTTTTCTTCTTTGGAAAAAAAAGATGATAATATAAAGAGTTCTTCAAAAGACCAAAACATAAATCAAAGCATATATATTCAAAAATGAATTATTGTCGTTACAACACCACCAGTATATTAATATTATGCAATACTTTCGCGCGTGTTATATATTTTATTAATTATAAATAAAAACTTGACTTTAAAAAATTTTGGCATTTATTTCATCAATTTTATATAATAAAATGCACTTTTGGGATCATTCACTTGTTTTTTTTGAAACTAAAATCCCTTTATTTTAACACGCTCAAAACAGAAACGTAATAATAATAAGTTTTTATTTTTTTTACCTAAACCCTTTTTTTGCCTTCATACACAAAACAAATTTTTGAAATTTTTTATTTTTTTATAAACTCAAATTTGAATTGTATATTTTATAGTCACACAAATAAACATGAATGAGTTTATTTGTGTGAAACAAGAGCAAAGCATTAGAAAGAAAAATGGGGTCTAATGATGGTTTGATATTTTTGGTTGTTTTTTATATAAAAAGTATATTGTCATTTGATTATGACGATATTGGTGTTTATATTGTCGTTATATTTATTAATGTGACTATTTGACATTGTTTGTTATGAAGTGGATTGATGATGTTGCGTATATTATTAAACGTTGTAACACAATAAAGCGATATGAAATTTCGTCCAAAAAGATTATTTTTGATAAATCTTAGGTAATTGAGTTCTCATTTGTTAATTATTTTAAGTAAAATAAAACTGACTATTGGCCAGTTTGGGTTTGAAAAAGGTTTTTGAATAAAAAAATAATAAAAAATGATTTGGACAATTTCCTTTTTACTTATTTTTCTTCTTAAAAAAAGTTTTGGGTTGTGAAAGTGTTAAAATAAATATGAATTTTTAATGCTTAAAAATTTTTTAAGTAAATAATGTTTTTTAACGACTTTTTTAATTTTTTACTTAAATAAATAATCGAAATTTATTACAAAAAACTCATTCTCAAAATTAATAAAAAAATAAACTCAAAAATTTGAAACACCACAGTACAGTCTTTTTAAAACCAGTTCCCTATTTAATAGTTATAACAATTATTTATTTTTAAAATAAACACAGTTTTTATAACAAATTTGTCTTTTAAATTTTAAATAAGTGTCCATTTATTATTTCATAAAAAATGAATTAAGTTTAATAATCAAATAAATAAAACAATTTAAAGTTTATATAACAACACACTTTATAATTAACATTTTATTTATAAAATCATTCAAATCATTCTCAAAAAAATTGTTTTTTAGTTTATATGTGATTATAATTGGTATGCATGTTTTTTTTTCGAATATCAACTTTTCAGTTTATCATTAATTAATGAATTTATTTTAATACATAATTTTTTGACAGTTTTTTGTTTATTGTTTTTGCAAAATAAATTCTTTTGATAAAAAAATAAAAGAATGGCTAGATATATTATTTAATTATTTAACTAATTAATATGATATCAATAGTTGTAGGGTTTAAAATTCTCAACAATTTTATTTATTATTGTTTACATACAAATAACAATTAACATTTTTGTTTTATAAAATAGCATTTAATTAAAATTATTTAATCTTCATATGTATAATTTTTAGTTTTATTTGTTTTTGTATCAATATGACATAAATATTTACTATTAAATCGGGTTTTGTTTATTTTTAATATTTAAATTGAATTCCATTTATTTACATAACTACCCTTATTTTTTTGTTTTACGAATTTTTATAGTTTTAACACGTCTTCAAATGTCGTTTTTTATTTTTTTCTATTTATTTTTAATTGCTCTAAACACCAAAAACATTTCTTACAAGAAATCAAAGATAAAGCACTTCTTTTATTATTATATTTTAAATATGATTAAATTTAACACAATTTAAATTGTTACACCCAACTGATAAATACAAAATATGCTCTTTTTATTGAGCTTGGTTTATCTGAGTTCTGCTTTGAGACAGTGCTACATAGAAGATCTTTTTTATGGTAGTTGTATTAAATATTACGACAGAGAAAATTCGACTGATTGTGACCCCAATTTGGTCATTACAATTGGTACGAATATATGCGACTATGGTTTCACCAACCACGACATTTTCACGTCAGTTACAATGGTAAAAGCCGTTTCAATAGGTCAGATGGCTTTTAGTGGATGCGCCAAATTAACTTCCGCGACATTTGGACCTTCACTCAATTCTTTAGGAATGAAAGCTTTTTTTGGGACAAAACTGACTTCCTTCGACCTTCTAAATGTTGTTAAAATTTCGAATTCTGTTTTTGAGTCTGTGGCGACTTTATCAAGTGTTACTGGAGGACGTCAACTTGAATATGTTGGTGACAGGGCTTTCTTTTTTTGTCCCATTAACGCGATATGTTTAGATGAGAACGCCATCAGTTATTGTCCCAAGTTGACTTATATAGGAGACGAAGCCTTTTACCAAACTGGATTGAGGACTTTCAAATTGTCTCCACTTCACAATTTAGTATTGGGGACATCAATCTTTGAATCCACACAATATTTGACCACTTTTGATATGAGTGGGCAGACCATAATAGCAGATAAGATGTTTCAGTCAAGTAGTATCACAAAGCTTATCGGCTCTGAAAATGTGAATTTCATTGAAAGCGAATCTTTTTTGAACGCAATGGTGTTGACTCAACTGTCTGTGGGAGAACTCCTTTCACTTAAAGATGGCTTGGAATCCATCACAACGATATTTTATCATGGACTCCATGAACCAATAGTACAAAGTGGCGTTTCCGTCTCGACAGACAAGAACGTTTTTGTGGGCGACAATTACACAGCCTCGAAATTTCTTGGGATGCAACCAACAACAGTTTCGTGTACAAGAAATCAATACTTTGACATTAATACAAAGACATGTATGAATTGTCAAACCGGGTATTACAGTTATGATGGGGTGAATAGCGAATGTTTAATAAAAGTTTCTAATTGTAGTGCTTTTTCTGGATGTGCAGAGAATGAATGTACCGATTATCAGTGTTTAAAATGTGCCACTGGCAACTACTTTTCTGTTGAATCTCGGAGTTGTGTAACTACCTGTGATGAAGTCAATGGGTACTTACTCTTACAAGACGGTATTTCGTGTGTCAAATGTTCTGAAAATTGCAATACGTGTTCTGAATCATTACAAGATTTTCCATCAATAAAATATCCATGCTTAACATGTCAAGATGGGTACTTAAAAACGAGTAAAGGGTCTTGTGTATCAGAATGTCCCACATCATCAAACCAAGGTTATATGAATGGAACCACGTGTTATTTATGTAACGAAACATACAATGGTTGTCAAACATGTGATTTCACGGGTACTTGTACAAGTTGTGAACCGAACTGGATTGATACAGATAAGTGTGTTGAAGGGTGTGGAAGTGGGTATAGAGCATTAGATACATTGAAATGTGTGGCTTCATGTGATTCGACCAAATATTATATTGATGAAGAAAAGCACATTTGTTTTTTAAAACCAGTAAATTGTTTGGAATATGAAAACAATATATATAGAGGAATCACTATAAACTGTAAAAAATGCAACACGCCATATTACCTCACTTCAGATACCAAAGCATGTGTTATTGAATGTGACTCGTCTCAGTATATCATAACAGAAACAAGTGAAAATACCTTTGCCCAGTGTAATATATGCACTGATGGAAACTGCTCAACGTGTACTGAAACAAACAAAGAAGTATGTACACAATGTAATACTGGGTATTATCTCCAAGACTTATCTGGAATTTTTTCGTGTGTAAATACATGTGACCCCGATAGGTACACTTCAAAAATCACAAGTGGAGTGCCTATATGTACTGATTGTATTGTAGAAAATTGTGCAAATTGTACAATACAAACATGCTATGAATGTGATGTTGGGTATTATTTATTGAATAATGTTTGTAATTCATGTGCTTCACTCTTTCCAAATTGTCAAATTTGTAGTTCAAATTCGTGTAGTCAGTGTTCGGAGGGGTTTAATTTTGATTATATTTCAAACACATGTAAACATTCATGCAACGATCTTTCATGTGATAGTTGTCCAGATGATGCTGCTATATGTGAAAAGTGTTTGGATCGTTACGGATTTGTGAATGGAGTTTGTGAGTATTGTGGAATTGATTGTTTAGAATGCAATGAAAACAAATGTTCAAATTGTAGTAATCGTTGTTACTTGGATTTAGTAACGTCAACATGCATTTCTTGTGTCGCTTATTGCAACAAATGTACCAACACTACGTGGTGTGATGAATGTTATTCGGATCAATATAATACGTATATTTATAATCCATATGAAAACAAATGTGTTGTGTGTGGGTCGGGGTATTTCATGGAAGACTCTTTTTGTTTCAATTGTGTACCAAATTGCATCACTTGTACTACAACAACAAAATGTCAAAAATGCGCGTCTGGGTATTATTTATCCAACATCACTCAGACTTGTATTGCGTGTTCAGTGAATTTGTGCTCCACGTGTATAAATGATGTGTGTGACACATGTGAACCAGGCTATTATTTATTAAACAATTTGTGTGATCGTTGTAATATCAGATTTGTTGATTGTGAAAATTGTACTAAGGATCAGTGTATAAATTGTTCATATGGGTACGGATTAAATGTAAGATCAGGTCTTTGTAAGCCATGTTATCAGATGTTTGACAAGTGCTTAAATTGTTTTAGCAATGGGAGTTATTGTTATTCGTGTGTCGAAGGTTATGAACCTTCAGAAGATGGTCAAAGTTGTGTAAAATGTCCTAAAAATTGCTTAAGATGTGAAAGAGGAATTTGTACTGAGTGTGACACACAAAATTCAGAACTGCAAACTGATGGAACCTGCAAAATGACATGCAGTGAAGAAAATTGTGCATATTGTTATAATTCGAAATGTACGCGTTGTAATGAAGGATTTCAACTTGAAACACAATCTGTATGTACTCCTTGTTCTTCAATTAATGAAAATTGCACAATGTGTATGGACAATGAGTGTCGTTTATGTAAAGAAGGGCAATACCTTAGTGGTACAAATTGTCTTGAATGTCCATCTAATTGTAAAACATGTAGTGATTCACAAACGTGTACAACGTGTCCCATTGGGTCTTCGATAATTAATGGAACATGTGGAACATGTGAAGGTGCTGGTAAATACATTGATAATGACAACGCGTGTCAAAATTGCAAAACAAACTGCTTAGAATGCACTTCAGAAGAAAACTGCCATTCATGTGACAGTGCTTATATTTTGACTGCATCTCATAGTGATTGTATAACATGTAACACAGAAAACTGTGCAACTTGTGTTGATAAAAAATGTGTTCAATGTAACAGTGAATATTATTTAAATGGGGACCAATGTACTTTATGTCTCACTAAATATCCACACTGTAAAACGTGCAATTCAAGCACTTGTTTATCGTGTTCGTCCTCATTTGTATATGACTATGAACTTTCTACATGTCATGAATGTGGCGAGATAAACAAAAATTGTTCAAATTGTATAGATGGCATATGTGTGAATTGTACCAGTGGTTTCCATTTGACTAATAATTATTGTTCTGCGTGTTCTGCGTTTGGTAAGTGTGCCAAATGCAACGAAGCTTTTTGTGAATTTTGTCAAACAGGGTACAAACTTATTCAAGGAAATTGTGTTGACCGTTGTAATGATGAATTTTGTATAACATGTGAAGAAGACGTTTCCAAATGTGAGCAATGCAAAGACGGTTATTACCTTCAGAACAACAATTGCAGTTCATGTCCACTCAAATGCAACAAATGCACAACCAGCGATTCATGCGAAGAGTGTGAAATCGGTCATTTCTATTCTGCTGCACTCAAATCGTGTGTTTTATGTAGTGATTTATATTATTTATGTGAAACATGTGACGACACCAAATGCACCAAATGTCAAGATGAATATATACTCAACTCGAGTGCTTCATGTGTTGAATGTAGTACTTTCTATCCATATTGTAATAATTGTACTAATAATAAGTGTGCACTTTGTGAATCGGGATATGGTCTTTTCAATAATAAATGTAACAGCTGTTCGTACATAGAGAATTGTATTGATTGCAATGCAATAGGTTGTACATTGTGTGCAGAAAGTTACAAATTAGAAAACGAACTTTGTATTTTAAATTGTACTGATGAAAATTGTGTTACGTGTAATACGACTGACATCTGCACATCATGTAAAGAAGGATTTTCCGTTGTGAATAATTTGTGCTTTAATTGTTCAGAGCACACCAGTGGCTGTTTGACTTGTAATGAGACAAACTGTTTATCATGTATTGAAGGAACCTTTTTAACTGAATCAGAAATATGTGCGAATTGTATAACAAATTGTTCTATATGTCATAATACAAATGAATGTGATAAATGCCGTATGAATTTATTATATCATCCCGACATCAAAGAATGTGGTGTATGTCCTTCCGATGGGTACACCGCAGTTGGAGAAACGTGTTACAAATGCCCAAGTAATTGTTCTGTGTGTTCAGAAGGAATGTGTGAAGAGTGTATGCCTGGATACACACTATTAGATAGTGGTTGTGAATTGTGTTCGAATGTATACACTGGATGCTTAGAATGTGTCAACAACAACTGTTTAGCATGTGCTGAAAAGAATTACTACGATTCGACAACACGAGAATGTGTATCATGTTCTTTATTCTCAGAACAATGCGATGAGTGTGATGAAGATAATTGTACCAAATGCCAAGATGGATATGGAGTTAATGAAAGAGGTTGTATACAATGTGAAAGTAATTGTGTTCAATGTGATAATGGCGAGTGTCAAATATGCAATGGGACATACACTCCATATGAAAGTTCGTGTTATGATTGCTCTAAATTTGAATTATGTGAACAGTGTAACAGCACAAACTGTATAATGTGTGTTAATGGAGAAAGTCCAGTTGACTCAAAGTGTTATAATTGCTCAGGATATACAAATTGTGCCAATTGTGATGCAACAAAGTGCATTTCTTGTCAACAAAATTATTATTTAGAAAACGATAATTGCAAACTGTGTTCGACTAAATATGAAGGATGTTCACTTTGTGACTTAAATACATGTAAAGAGTGTGCAGAAGGATATTTCATGACTGAAACTGGCATATGTAGTCATTGTGTAACCAATTGTGCGAAATGTACAAACACAACAAATTGTGAGACTTGTGCAGAAGGGTTTATGGTTATTGGAAATGCATGTGGAACGTGTGCATCTTATGGTGAATGTTCTCAATGTAATTCCGAGCAATGTGTAATATGTAAAAGTGGATATTTCAATAACAACGGATATTGCTACAGATGTGTCGAAAACTGTTTAGACTGTATTAATAACAACACATGCACAAAATGTTCTGCAGATTTGAAGTTCAAAGAAGACGAGAAGAATTGCACTGAATGTCCTACAAACACAAATTACTTTGTTGATGAGAAGAACACGTGTAAAAAGTGCAAATCTGAGTGTACAAAATGTACAACACTTGATAAATGCAGTGAGTGCATTACTGGGTACTTCGTTGACTCAACAAATCACTGCATTGATTGTGTAACTAAAGGTTGTTTAACTTGTGATGCGACAAAATGTTTAAGTTGTGCATTAGGAGAAGTTGTTGACTCACTTGGAAAGTGCTCAATTTGTTCCGTTGCGACTAACAATGCAAATTGTGTTAAATGTCACAACGAAGGAAGTTCGGTTGTATGTGATGCGTGCAAAGATGGCTTTTTCATGGATGATACAAAGACGAAATGTATAACATGTGACCGATGTGGAGATTTGGGGTGTCAAATAGCAACACAGAAATGCTACAATTGTGAGAACTCAACCGACATTTTAATTAACGGAATTTGCAAAGAAATGGGTACTTGTAAGACTCGAGGAGACAATGGGAAGTGCGCCGAGTGTATAAACAACTACATATTAGTAGGTAGCAAATGTGTTCAAATAACAACAGAAACATCAAATGTTGTTATGTACAATGGAAAGACGATATTAGCCAGTGATGTGAATTGTTCTGCAATTGATTCGACCAAGAAAGTGTGTACTTTGTGTGACGAGGACTATTATTTAAATGAAGGGGTGTGTATGCAATGTACAGACATTTACGACAGTTGTATATCCTGTGGGTATATGAAAATAGAGAACTACAAACAGGTGATATGCAGTACATGCAGTGTAGGCTATTACCCCGAAATTTACTGCAAGCAATGTACTGACATGAATGGATGCAAAATGTGTGTTAACTATTTGAACGAAAATGAGACATCAACAAAGAATTGCACTAAATGTCTTGACCTCTACGAAATGGAAAATGGAAGGTGCAAATTACTTGAAAATTGTATAGAAGCCGTGAGTGGACGATGCACTCTGTGTGAAAAGAATTATTTGGTCTCGAATGGGAAGTGTGTGCCTTGTGGGGAAGTAGTCATTGGGTGTATTGAATCATCAAACGAGAAGTGCACATCATGTGACGAAATGTATTATTTGGACTCCACTGGATTGTGTCGAATTTGTGATTTGGATAATTGCAGAAAGTGTTCTCCTGAAGGCAGATGTGCTGAATGCAACACAAATACAACAATAAGTACAACAGCGCCATATTGTCGATTGTGTTCAACTCTTAATAATTGTCAATTGTGTAATAACAAGGAAGTCCTCTCGTGTACAATATGTGAGTCAAATTACTATATCAAAAACAAGAAGTGTACATCTTGCACTTCAATTTCAAAGTGTGAAGTGTGCAACTTGATTGGACAATGTACCAAATGTGAAAATGGGTATTTCCCAAAGAACAGAATGTGTGTTGTATGCTCGACTCTTTCAAATTGCGCAACTTGCAAACAGTCTGAAGGCGTCTGTTTAACTTGCTCAAGTGGGTATTACATAGATAACTCGGTTTGTAAGTCATGCTCTGAAATATACACAAATTCACTTGAATGCACTTTTGAGAAGGTTACAAAATGTGAGGTCGGGTACTTCATTAAAAACAACAGATGCGCCTCGTGTTCTGCCATTCCATATTGCACTGTGTGTACAGACGAAAACACATGTACGTCATGTAAAACACCATACAATTTGTTTAACAATAGCACTTCTGGGAAGATTGAATGTTCTAAAAATTGCGGAATTAACAAATGCAACACGTGTACTGTCGATGGAGTATGCTCAAACTGTGATGCTCCTTACACATTAGATACAACTAAAAATACATGCGAGTTATGTTGGAGCGTACAAAATAATTGTGCGAAGTGTTCGCAGACTTCAAATGAGTGTCAACTTTGCGAATCAGATGAGTATTATTTGGACGCACAAAATACATGTAAGCCATGTTCTGTTATACCCCATTGTATAGTCTGCACTTCAGGTACTCAATGTTACGAGTGTGACGATGGCTATGGTGTCGACACAAATGGAAATTGCAAATTACTGACTTCTGGTGTGTTATTGGACAACACTTTGAAACAAAGAAAAAATAAAAAATCACAGAAGAAAGGGTGTGACAGCAAATCAATAACCGTTGCAGGCGAGTGCGTTTCAATTGGAAATGACGAATATAAAAAGTCAGAGAGTGTAGCCAAAAAATGTTCCAAAAAGTTCTTTGGGTGCTATTCATGTGAATATTCACCGGACGATGGTACGTTCAACAGACAGCAATTAAAGTGTACAAGATGCCAAACTGGCATGGCTTTTGAGTCTTCTGAGTACATGAAATGTGTCACCATTAAAGTTGGTGAGATGGTGGATGATAAGAATATCAAAGTCAAGTGTATGGAAGGGTGCTCGATGTGTACAACATCGACCAACTGTATCTACACGGATGACTCTACTCACACTGCTCGAAACGAAATACTTAACAATTACTCAAACCACAAATTCTGTCAAAAGTATATCAATTATATTGGGTGTAGCGAGTGCTCAAATACTATAACATCAACTGGTATTTGCAATAACAACGATAGAAATAATGAATGTTCCTTTATGAAAGAGAACAATGGTGAGTATGAGTGTATGGGGTATATAGAAGCTACAAAAACAACACAAAATGTGAAAACTGCTGATGTCAATTGTCTGCAAACAGTCAGCGGCCGTTGCGTAAGATGTTCTGAAGGCAACTACTTATCAAAAGACTCGCCACCAAAGTGTCTGAGTTGCATTGAAAATTGTTCGAATTGTACTGCAGCAAACGACTGCAATTTGTGTAAAAGTGGATATGTGTGGAACATCAATAAGTGTGAAAGTGTCTTAAATTGTGTTGAAAAAACCTTCAAAGGATGTGCCAAATGTGTCGATTCCTATTACTTAAAAGAAGGAAAATGTTACAAATTGACTGACAGTAATTGCAAGTCTGCTCTTATAACTACAACACAGAGCATTGTGTGTAACTTGTGTATTAACAATTATATTTTAGACAATGGAAAATGCGTTGAAAAGTCCACAAAAAGTTGTTCAGTTGTTGATCCAAAGACATCGCAATGCAGTGAATGCTCTGTTGGATTTATGATCGACAAATCAAAGAGTTGTTCTAAGATTTTAACTTCACTTTGTAGTTACTCTTCGCGATATGAGTGCTTGAAATGCACTACACAAAATCGACTTGGGAAGGTCAAAGGCGATTCCGTGTGTGCAGCTTCTATATCAAATTCGTTCTGTCTTGAAAATACAAACACTGGATGTTCCAAGTGTAATGACGGCTTCTATGTTCATGGAAAAGAGTGTCGTCCGTGTGACACCAAATGTGGTAAATGCTCTTTATCTGCAGACAATTGTTTGACGTGTGCATTTGGATATTACTATGACTATACTACAAGTGATTGTCTGTATGTCGGTGAACTTGCTGAGAAGTGTAAAACGTTCCTTCCGAGTGGTGTAGATTGTGCTGCATGTAAAGATGGATATCTTCTAGTGAATATGGATTGTGTGAAATGTGAAGAAAAGTGTGGAAGTTGTGTGTCTACGATATCCAATTGTGTGAAGTGTAATGTCACAGGAGGGTACTTTGAAGACATTGAAATGTCAACTCCAGACGAGAAGAAGTGTATTATAAACACGATATTAGAACACTGTGTAGTGTCTTCCGATTTTGGATGTGGTACATGTGAAGACAAGTATTATCCCAATGAATACAACAAATGTACCAAATGTGAAGATACCTGTGCAACATGTTCAAATGGGAAGACGTGCACTGCGTGTGTAGATCAATATGTCTTGATATCAAAAACGTCTCAATGCACAAAATGGGACTCAATAACTAATTGTAAGTCATATGATACTCAAACACATAAATGTGCAGAGTGCAGTGGAAGCAACAAAGTTGGACCAAATGGAGATGAATGCGTTCACAAGACTAATGTACTTGCCATAGTACTTCCAATCATATTTGCTATAATACTTATTGTAGTTATCATCATAGCTATTGGGTGTGTGCTATTCTACATTCATTACAAGAAAGAAGAGAAGCTTCGTAACTCTTTAGTTAACGAATTCTTAGTGAGTGACCTAAAGACTAAAGGCACTGAATTTGTGTACCTTGGCGATAACAAAGACCGCATTATGTGTTCAACAAAAGTTCTTATATTTGAAAATGAAATTCCAGTGCAAAAAGACAGTGAAAAGAAGTTCTATGTTGGCAACGACAGAGCTTCGATGTTAAAATTCCAATTCACAACACAAAATGATGAAGACAAATATGAAAGTGAGTGTAGCCCCTGACATACCTGTTAATATTAAGAAAAATAGAGCAGTTGAATTTACATTAATAGTTCATCCTTTATGTACCATTACAAAAACGGTGGATATCACCTGTTCCGTCTTAAATATGAGTAAAGGCAAAATAACAGAGATCAAAATTCCAGTCAAATTTGCATCAGAAGAGTCAATGGCGCTTGATCCAGACGACTTAAAGAAAGACAAGAAATTAGGAGAAGGGTCTTTTGGAATTGTATATAAAGGGTCTTACAGAGGAAACGATGTTGCTATCAAAGAGATGAAGGAGATGGTTGTTGCCAAATTGGGAGTTAAAAGTTCAACGACAAACAACACTCTTTCTGGCACTAACAGAGGAAATACAGCAAGAGACAAAACAAAAAATACGACCAAAAATAACACGACAGGCAACTTGTCAGCAACAGTCAGAGACAAAACTGCTGCTGAGAAACAGATGGATAAGAAGATGGACGAATTTAAAAAGGAAGTTGCGATGTTGGCCAAATTTGTGAGTCCGTATGTCATTCGATTCTATGGAGCGTCGTTTATACCAAATAGAATATGTATGGTCACTGAATTAGCTAAATATGGCAGTCTACAAGACTTAATGAAACACAAAAAGGCCGATGAAGTTATACTAAAAATGCGAATTAAATTGATATTAGACACTGCTAAGGGAATTCAATATTTACACGCAAATAACACTCTTCACAGAGATATTAAATCGGATAACACACTTGTCGTATCACTGGACTTTAATGATGAAGTCAATGGAAAATTGACTGATTTTGGAGCGTCAAGAAACATTAACAGTCTTTGTGATAACATGATGTATACAAAGGGTATTGGAACGCCAAAGTACATGGCGCCTGAAATCACAAACGTTGAAAAATATTCACTTGCGGCTGATGTGTATTCATTCGCTATTACAACTTTGGAGTGCTTGACTTGGAAAGACCCATTCGATGAAAAGTTGTTCCCATACAGTTGGGATATCACTAATTTGATTTCAAGTGGAAAACGACCACAAATCGAATTGGAAGATGAAGAACACAAAGCTCTCATTGAAGAAATGTGGAAACAAGACCCAAGAGAAAGACCTGATATGGATGTTGTAGTGGAAAAGTTGAAACAGATATACAACAAAGCGAATTGAATATACTATTTTTATAATTAATATTTTCTAATAAAATTACCATTAATTATTAGTTAAATTATATTAAATAAATATATATACATACTATAATATTAATATAATATTATAATATTATTAATATATTATTAATAGATTATTATATAATAATTTCATTATATTATTATATTATTATATTTTCTATATTATTAGATTATTTTATAATTGATATTTTTTAATAAATATTACCATTAATAATTAGCTAAATTTTATTATAATAATATTATAATATTATCACAGTATTATTATCTAATAATTTTATTATAATATTATTATAATATTATTATATATTTATAATTTTATATTATTATATTTTGCCCAAGTTAAAAAAACAATAAATATAACAAAAAAAACAATAAAATCACATTTAATTTTTCAATGTATAAACAGCGAATTTTTGAATTTTAAAAGTCGAGTTATTTTGTTCTCCACATATTCCAACTTTCCGTCCATCATAGTCGAAAGCATTCATCTTACAGCTGCACCACAATTCTTGTTGTTTATTTTTCCTCATCATTATAATGTCGCCATCACCAACATTGAATAAAGAATTGCTGTCTTTTTTATCAATTTTAAACGCAAATTTATTTAGATTTGGTCTAATTAAATACCTATCGAATTTTTCTCGACCTTTTTCTTTCAATTTGAATACAAAACATTTTTGATCCATAAAGAACGTGTTGCTGTCTGTTATCTTTCGAGTTAAATAAACACCAAATCGGTTCTTTTCAAAGTCTTCGATACAAATGATAAAACCAGTTATAGTTCTCATAGCTTCAAAGAATTCAGTCGACCCCAAATCAGTGGAATTTATTTCAGAGTCAAATACAACACTTTCAACGTTCTTTGCGCACCATTTATAAATTTGTTTCATATCACTTGTTGTTAAAAATTTGTCAACAGTAAGACTTTTCTGTCTTATTTCCTGTTTTTGTTCTTTCAAATAATTTCTTGTGACTTTTTGTTGTTGGACTACTTGAATTTTCTTTATCAAAATTTGTGGTTTTTTATTTTCAACAAGTCGGTGGTCATGAGATTTTTTCAAATCAATTTTTTTAAAGTCGTTTTCTTGTTTTGGTTCTTTTTTATACCAAGGCAAATTTAATAAGTGTTTGCTTTGATTGTCATCACTTTTTCTTTCTTGTACTTCTTGTATTATATGATGACACGTTTCAATAACTTTTGTTTGTTCAAAAACATTTTTTGGTATTTCTTTGTTTTGATTCAATTGTTCTTCTTGTTGTTCTCCATCGACTTTTTTAGTGTCACTTACTTGAGAAGTATTAATATCTTTTTTACTATTATTTTCCATACTAATTTGCGGTTTAATTTGTTTCTTTTTTGAGCATTGATAACACCCAATTTCGATTTTTTTAATGACTTTTGGTGGTTCATTATTTGTGAGTAAATCTTTTGGATGTAATAAAACGTCGTTTTCAATGCAATTTTTGATTGGCATTTCTTCTTCTTCCATTTTAATGTTTTTCTGCATCACTTCATTAAATTGATCATTTGCTTTATTTTCGTATTCTGTTTTTATCAATTGCACAACTTTGGGTTTCAAGGTCGTTGGCATTTCCATTTCCGTTGCTATTGTTCGACTTTGAAAATGAGTTGAGTCAAACACCATATTATTCAATGGAAAGATCGAGTTGATCATTTGTGAAGACAAAAATGTGTTCCTTTGTTGGAACTCTTCGTTTAACGCCGCTTTTCGAAATTGGTTCGTCTTAAGTTCATTTTCAAAGTTTTGTTTGTTTTTATCAATTAATATTTGAATCACGTTGTTGTGATAGTTCTTGAGGAAATATCCGTCTTCTTCAATTTGCTTTTGAAAATTATTTAATAACTCAGAAAAGTCCAATAAAGCAGCCAAAGTCGTTTTTATTAAATTTTCAAAACTAACGACTATTTGAGAGTTCTTCTTTTGATTATATATACATTCATTTAATATTTTTATTGAACTACTATAATCTGTAAATCGTATTGCTTGTGGAATTGTAAGGGATTGCATACTATCGTATTGTGTCGAGAGCATTTCTAGGGACATTAAGTGTGTCTGAATATCGTGCAAACTTTGTTTCATATGCTTTATCAACTCTTCTTTTCTATTTAAAAACATTGTTTTGTATTTTAAAGTTGTTGATTTAAATTACAATGTTTAAGATGAATATAATATTCATCTTTTTAATAGTTTATAGTAATTTATTGGGTTTAATTAATACAAAAATATTATCAATGATCCGCTATTATAGTTGGAATTTTTAAAAAGTTGTATGGAATAGTAGAAAATTATGATTTATTTATTAGTTTTATTTATTATTTACATACTAAATTTAATAATTCTAAAATTCTAGTATCAGTTTAATTTTTTAAAATAACAGTTTTTAAATATTAAAACTGTTATTAATTATTTTTAATTTTATTAATAATAATTGTCATATTTTTAAATTATACAGGAGTGGAAAAAAGCTGTAGTGAAAACCAAAAATTATAGTAAATTAATAGTATTTAACTATATCATATAGTAAATTTTTAGATTTATTGCTTTTATTCGATTGGTTACAATTACAAAAATAATTCGGCAATTCCAAATGGCAAATTCTATAAGAATAATTTTATTATTGCCAAATTTATAGATT